TTTGTGTTCAACATGTAAGAGTAGAAAGTACAGGTATTTGAGTTCAACATGTAAGAAGTAGAAAGTACAGGTATTTGTGTTCAACATGTAAGAAGTAGAAAGTACAGGGTATTTGTGTTCAACATGTAGAAGTAGAAAGTACAGGTATTTGTGTTCAACATGTAAGAAGTAGAAAGTACAGGTATTTGTGTTCAACATGTAAGAATAGAAAGTACAGGTATTTGTGTTCAACATGTGAGAAGTAGAAAGTACAGGTATTTGGGTTCAACATGTAAGAAGTAGAAAGTACAGGTATTGTGTTCAACATGTGAGAAGTAGAAAGTACAGGTATTTGGGTTCAACATGTAAGAAGTAGAAAGTACAGGTATTTGTGTTCAACATGTAAGAAGTAGAAAGTACAGGTATTTGTGTTCAACATGTGAGAAGTAGAAAGTACAGGTATTTGTGTTCAACATGTAAGAAGTAGAAAGTACAGGTACTTGAGTTCAACATGTAAGAAGTAGAAAGTACAGGTATTTGGGTTCAACATGTAAGAAGTAGAAAGTACAGGTATTTGGGTTCAACATGTAAGAAGTAGAAAGTACAGGTATTTGTGTTCAACATGTAAGAAGTAGAAAGTACAGGTATTTGTGTTCAACATGTAAGAAGTAGAAAGTACAGGTATTTGGGTTCAACATGTAAGAAGTAGAAAGTACAGGTATTTGGGTTCAACATGTAAGAAGTAGAAAGTACAGGTATTTGGGTTCAACATGTAAGAAGTAGAAAGTACAAGTATTTGGGTTCAAAATGTGAGAAGTAGAAAGTACAGGTATTTGGGTTCAACATGTAAGAAGTAGAAAGTACAGGTATTTGTGTTCAACATGTGAGAAGTAGAAAGTACAGGTATTTGGGGTTCAACATGTAAGAAGTAGAAAGTACAGGTATTTGTGTTCAACATGTAAGAAGTAGAAAGTACAGGTATTTGTGTTCAACATGTGAGAAGTAGAAAGTACAGGTATTTGGGTTCAACATGTAAGAAGTAGAAAGTACAGGTATTTGTGTTCAACATGTAAGAAGTAGAAAGTACAGGTATTTGGGTTCAACATGTAAGAAGTAGAAAGTACAGGTATTTGGGTTCAACATGTCAGAAGTAGAAAGTACAGGTATTTGGGTTCAACATGTAAGAAGTAGAAAGTACAAGTATTTGGGTTCAAAATGTGAGAAGTAGAAAGTACAGGTATTTGTGTTCAACATGTAAGAAGTAGAAAGTACAGGTATTTGGGTTCAACATGTAAGAAGTAGAAAGTACAGGTATTTGAGTTCAACATGTAAGAAGTAGAAAGTACAGGTATTTGGGTTCAACATGTAAGAAGTAGAAAGTACAAGTATTTGGGTTCAAAATGTGAGAAGTAGAAAGTACAGGTATTTGTGTTCAACATGTAAGAAGTAGAAAGTACAAGTATTTGGGTTCAAAATGTGAGAAGTAGAAAGTACAGGTATTTGTGTTCAACATGTAAGAAGTAGAAAGTACAGGTATTTGGGTTCAACATGTAAGAAGTAGAAAGTACAAGTATTTGGGTTCAAAATGTAAGAAGTAGAAAGTACAGGTATTTGGGTTCAACATGTAAGAAGTAGAAAGTACAGGTATTTGGGTTCAACATGTAAGAAGTAGAAAGTACAGGTATTTGTGTTCAACATGTGAGAAGTAGAAAGTACAGGTATTTGGGTTCAACATGTAAGAAGTAGAAAGTACAGGTATTTGTGTTCAACATGTAAGAAGTAGAAAGTACAGGTATTTGGGTTCAACATGTAAGAAGTAGAAAGTACAGGTATTTGGGTTCAACATGTAAGAAGTAGAAAGTACAGGTATTTGGGTTCAACATGTAAGAAGTAGAAAGTACAGGTATTTGGGTTCAACATGTAAGAAGTAGAAAGTACAGGTATTTGAGTTCAACATGTAAGAAGTAGAAAGTACAGGTATTTGTGTTCAACATGTAAGAAGTAGAAAGTACAGGTATTTGGGTTCAACATGTAAGAAGTAGAAAGTACAGGTATTAGTGTTCAACATGTGAGAAGTAGAATTATGATATATTAGAGCACACCGGGAGCAACAAGCATCTTTCCCTCTTTATTTGGATCTGGGAATCGAACCACTGACCCTCCGATTGGTAGACGACCATTTAACCAATGAGAGAGTGGAAGTTTAAGACCACTTTTAATTGGGGGCCATCGCCGGGGCCAGTTATTTTGTGAAAGGTGCGACAAAGGAGACATTTTACGTGGATAGTGCACACAAAAAACTACTTTGGCTCAAATGAAATCACAGTGTTGCTGAAACTCTGTAAAAAATGGTATTATCATAGAGTCTTTGTTCAAAGGGGGTCCAAGCTCAGTGTTATGAGGAAATAAAAACCCTCCCCTGAGCAAAAGCTGCCCTATTAAAATCACATTTTCTTAAGAAACAGGGGTTGGTATTGCGTTGTAACATAAGAGCTGCTCAAGTGAGCGATGTTATTCTGCAGACATTTGATGCAAAGGGCATTTGGACTCTAACAAAGGTGCAGGAATGAGCATCGGTGCATCTCTCTCTCTCTGACAAAGGGTCATGTACAGGAATTAAAATGTGCAAAGGTCGTGGTATTTGGTCAAAGAGACGGCGTGACATTAGACTCCTGTCAGCGACCTGGGTTAACCTCACACACACACACACACACACACACACACACACACACACACACACACACACACACACACACACACACACCACACACACACACACACACACACACACACACACCACACACACACACACACACACACACACACACACACACACACATCACACCACACACACACACACACACACACCACACACACACACACACACACACACACACACACACACACACACACACACACATACACACACACACACACACACACACACACACACACACACACACACACATTAGACTGAATTAGACTCAATCAATCCATTGATCAGTGTGTCTCCGAGTCCAATTTAGCTCGGTGTCACTGAAATGAGGCCGATCACACTGATGTGACTGAGGCTGTCTTCTTAGATTAACGTCAGTAATCTGAGTCACGGTGTGTTGTGGTTTGATGACACTGGAATACACAATGTTTTCAAGTTTGTGAATAAAGCAAATGTACTTTTTCTGAGAGACTCTCCCAGCTTTTCCCCCCATAGGAATGAATGGGGAATCGACCTGAACCGAGCTCAAAATCACCCGACTTTGAGGTCATACTGATTCGCCATACTTTATCGTAGGTAAAAGATTACAAGTTTAAACAGCTCTCCTGACTCTCAGCTTTATTGGACTAACATGGTTTTATGATAGACTGAACAGTTCTCCTAAAATCACAGTTTAAGTTGTGGTACATCTTCACTGTGTTTCAGATGTTATAATGGGTGTGTATGACGGAGTGATGACATCAGAGGGTCTGTCAAATCTCCTGATCTTAACCCTGCTCTAAATCCCATAATATCCACTCTTTTTCACATCATTTTAAATGATATTAGCAGCTAAATGAGTCAGCGTTGTCTCGATGCCTTCCCTATATCAAACTGACTTAAAGATCTGCCCTTAAAGTGTCTTTGAGCGACAAAAACTCTGGTGTTAAATGTCTGAATGAGAGCGAGGTGACCTTGTTGCTGGGCAGTTTTCAAAATGTCTCGACCATTCCTTCCATAAAAGACAGCGAAAGTTTGATCAATACCTCCATCACGCTGGCACTATGAGCATCAGGAGCGACAACAAGTGCCAGTCGCACAGCGAGGGGACATTCTAGTTATTTCTAATGATTAAAACCATTGATATGAACCCTTATTTTGCATTAGAAGTATATTTACTGACCTGGAAGTTGTTTGCAATGCCTATAAACATTTCTCCTCGTCTCCATTTGTTCCCCTGGTTCCCAGACTGAGACCAGACCTCATGAGTGGAGTTTCCGTACTTCAGCAGCACCTGCAGATGAAGACACACATTCTGATGAAATCCCTTCCACACGGATCATTTTCTCCTGTTCTCTCCCCTCCTCGTACCTGCAGAGATCCCACGGTGAACCCGCTCATGTGGTACCAGAAGACCAGAATGCATTGTGGTCCGTTGGAGGTCATAACAGGTGTTTGGAAGTCGCTGGTTTGACCGTATCCTCCGTTTGAGCTGTCGGCGCACATGTACCATCCCTCTGGACCCCCGCTGGCAGAGAGACACAGGAAACACACATTCAAATCTGAATTATGGCCAAAATTCAAGTCCAAATGTGAAAAAGTGCCACCTTTTCCTCCTTTAGTGAGCTTCCACATGTCTCATTATGTGCGGGTACTCCCGGTTAAAGCCTAATTGCTCATACATTGCATTAAGTCAAAAGCTATATCACTTTACTTTCCAAATAATTAACTATTATTAGGTATTAACGCTTAAACACTTACCATTTAGGTGATTAGTTTATCCAATTAACACGTATTTAGGAGATGACGGGGTGATTGAATCTGTGCGGAGCTGCGAGCTTCATAAAACACACATCCACAATGTTGATATGAGTTAAGATACTACAGCTAACGCTATTCTTTGACTGTGTTTATTATCAGTTTTGAAACCAGAGCTAACAACGAGCTAATTCAAGTTATTGAGCTCCACATCCAGCAAACTTTAAAACTGCCAATTACAATAAAATGTAATATGAGTTTCGCTGTAATTGCACTTTTATGCTTCACTTCTTTAATTTCTCACAAGACGTGCAGCTCTCCCTCGGGTTGAATAAGACTCCATTTCACTCACGCTGTATTGATCTGGGTTGCAGCAGAAGTGAGGAAGAGGAGGAGGAAGAGGAGGAGGTTATGAAGAAAGATATTGAGTGTAATTCAGGCGGAGAAATGATCGTAATGAAAGGTAATAGTCAGGGTGTGATTTTCTGCTCTCACTGGACTCAATAAAACGTAGATAAGGAAAATTAGGTCTGCTAAATTGGACGTGTTCTCTCTTCTCTCTGAGAGA